GAGAAGAGAGAGAGAGAGAGAAAGAGAGAGTAAATCTTTATAGAAATGGAAGTTGGAATGTACAGATATCTGGGCAAACTGTTGGTGAAGTAAAAACTGTTGCCGACATGCATGAACGTAAAGCAGAAATGGCTCGACAGTCTGATGCCTTTATTGCTTTACCTGGTATGATTTTTATGGACCATACAACAATGTCACAAATGATATGCAAATCAAAAATGTCACACAGGTTCAAATTTCTTCCCTATATTCACTGGTTCTCATTCTATTTCTAATGTTTCAGGAGGTTATGGTACCATGGAAGAGTTATTGGAAATGATAACCTGGTCACAGCTTGGAATTCATAGTAAACCGGTCATATATTTTGCTTGACATCACCAAATTTGGATGTTTGGACTATGATATAAAGGGTTTACTGAAATGGTAATTACTTTTATTATGCAGGTGGGACTGTTAAATGTCGACGGGTACTATGACACTTTGCTTGCCTTATTTGACAAGGGTGTTCAGGAAGGTTTCATCCAGCCGGCAGCCCGCCATATAGTTGTCTCTGCCCCTACTGCGAAAGAATTGATCCAAAGAATGGAGGTGAGTCTTTTCTTCTTATTTTTCTTCTCTCTCGTTCGTTTTGTATTAGGCAATGCCCATCATTCTGAGTTAACATTGATACTTTACTTAACTGTGATAATGCAAAGATAAGTGTACTCTCTCTCTCGTACAGATACACATACATGATTTCTTTCTTTACTTTGTTGGCTGAAAGTACCATGTGGTCCCCTAGAAGGGCATCTAATTGCTATGCTTTTCTAACCTGCTGTTTTATCACTATTTCACATGTAGGAATATACACCATTGCATGATCAGGTTGCTCCTCAAACAAGCTGGGAGGTTCGAGAATTGGGTTATTCTAGGCGCCCGGATCCTTCATGACATCCAGTTATAGTAGCGTGTAAAACTGATTGAACGTGATTCTTTTCTGGTTTACTATATATTTGATTTATGTAAACCTGGGCTGGAAAAGGCCCAAAATATATTATTGTTCATGGGGCAAATATATGCAATAAATCCAATCCTTGTCTTCCTTGAAAATTAAATTCTTCTTTGATCCTTGGGTCTCTTCCTTAAATCTATTATTGGGGCTCAAACGTTATGTCTTAGTTCCTGGGAACTGTCATATCTCTGAGAAATTTGGCCGTGTACCGCTAGTGTTATTCTCTGGTTTAGAATTTAGGTGAATGGCACAGCACTGTTACCCAAGCTGCATTTAAATTTTCAACGGCATATTAATGAAAATTCTCAACAAAGGAAAGAAAACAGACACCTTACTTTTTAGCTGTCAAACTCTCTTTATACCATGACTAGCACACCAGATTGAACCCGGTAACTTGTCTATAAACTATGGCTTCAGTGCTGGCCCCAGTTGTATCTCATTTCATAGGTTTGTGATAAGTTTCTTTAATGTCTAACCCTTATAATCACAACTGAGATGGAGAGAGCCTCCGATCATGGATGTATTTGACAGTTCGTAACGGCCAGTCACATGTTGAGATCTGAAGTGCCAGTTAAGAGTCTAGAATCAATGTCTTTTGGTTGTTAGAAGGTCCACATTTTTTGTGGGGCCTCTTTTTAAGGCGCGTTGTTACGTGTTATCTAATCGTAAAAGAAGCAGCTGGAGAAAATGGTTTAGGGAACAATGGCCTGTTGGCCATGGGACCACTAAGATGGGTTTTTTGGTACAGTTGCAGAGAAAGAGGGAGATGCTGTCAACAGCTTCACAATCATAAGGATTGGAAGCCACTAGTATTATATGAAGGGAAAGGATATGGGGCCCATCAGTCTAAGTGGGACCCGTTTCCATTTACACAATTTTGGTTCCGGAAAATATTTGGGGTACATTTTGTCAACACTAAATTTTTAGGTAAAATTTTCCTTTCCAAAAAAGAATTTGGGTAAAATTCTAAAAGCTTCTTGCTATTAAAAATAGAAAATAAAAAGAAAAAAACTCTCAAAGCATTTTCATTCACATGGGAGAGAGAGAGGAAAGGAGGAAGCGAGTCAGTGAAGCTTTGTGTGTGTGTGTGCGCGTAGGTGTTTGCACACACCCAACCCATAATTGTAATGTGTGTGTGAGAGAGAGAGGAGATTATTTGTAGTTTTTCCAAATGTCTGTTAGAAGGCTTACTTTGTAAGAGACCAGCAGCAGCAGCATCTCCATAATGGGTGGTATGAGTGCCGAAAATGGATTTTTTCTATTAGGGATACTTTTCTTTTCCTGTTCTCCTTTTAATGTGCATAAATACTTTCCATATTATTTAATTCCAAAATTACTTCATAGATGACAAATATGACCATATTGTGAAGTGGTTCTCAGTTTCAGTTACCTACAATTTCTTCCAAAAATACTGGAGGCTTTGTAGGCCAGGAAATTCCTTTTTTTAGAACTAAAAAAAAAAAACTTCCTTGTAGGTTTTCTTCCCGAGGGAGTAGCTAAACAATGTACTCAGGGGGGGCATAGTCGAGGTGTATTATTTGGAGGAGGGTCCTACTGTAATACACAATGTGTCTGTACGATGTGGTGCACAGAGCAGCCAAACCCCGTCAGCAGACAATGGAGATGAACTTTGTTCCCCTAACAGACAATACCAGGTTTTAAAATGGAACAATAGCTCATCTCCACCATCCATTCATGGGGATTCACCCTTTACTTATCATATACAGCACAAGGTATTATGCATTGAGCATTTTCACATGATGAAAGTAAAGAGCATTTGCTCAAGGACCAAGTGAAAAGACCTCAAAGCAATCAATGTATATGCAGTTATGCATCTGAGCCAGAACCAGAAGATATTCTATTACCTTGGGAGAAGAATGTTCATTTACTGCCTCGGATAAACCCACCTAAAACTAATTGGACATGGTTTCTATGAGTCCATGTAGAAATGAGTCGATTCTTAAAAATCTATTTTTGAGATGGATTTTCGGACCTAATTTTCAAAGACATAATCTCTAATATGGTGATCATGAATATAAATAAATAAATAGATTTGAAGAAATAAAAATAATGATTTTATAAAAAAACATTTGGACCACTTATTTGCATCCATCTTTAAGATGGATGCTTTATACTTTGGGATTGCATATTGTAGAAATGCAGTCCAGCCCGCATGAAACAATTTTCCAAATTAATTTTAGGATTCTAAATTTTTTGGGGACATAACCTCTTCAACCCATAGATTAATCTCAATAAAAAATATTTCCTAATTGTATCATTTATGCACCTAAAAAAAAAGATTCTACATATGGAGACCATTTACTTTTGATACAAGGAGGTCACAATTATTTATAACCATTTGATATGAAATTTGACAGTTTAAGTGTAACATAAAGTTTGAAAAAATTTCTTTTGAAGTTTGAGCTTGGTCAATGAAATAAATACAACCATCCAATTTCACATCCAATAGTCAAGATTAATTGTAACTATCTTATACGAAAGGTAAATGATTTTATTGTATACTTTTCCATAAAAAAATAGTGTCTTGTGATTGAATAGAGACCATCAAAATTTTAGATGGTGCGTTCTAAGTTTAGAAAATACAAATTTCAAAATTTTCCTTTTCAGAAAACTTATTTAGTTCTTCTTAGGTGGTTCATAGTTTAGATTGAAAAAAAATCCTCCCAATTAGTTCATCTAACCGAGGGAGTAAAAGTAAATTATGCTCCTAAGGGAGCATAGTATACGTGCGTATGCACTACACACTACAGAACCTCGATGTAGATGGTAAAATTAATAAACTAAATTATGGAGGGGAAAGTTTTAACTTTTAAGTCAGGGCACCAACTCATGTGATGTGCCTGCTCAGGTTTCTTAAGAGATTTACTGCAATTCCATTTCCACCTCAGATCCATGAAAATGGAGTTAAAAAAACATAGCACATTTGAGGATCTCTGAGGCATTACAGTGGATGGACCCTATAAGAAGTACACAGTGGACTTTTGTAAGGTTCAAAGTTTAACTTTTATTTCATTTTCACGTGATGGAGACAATAGACCCGTATAGTTTTTGGATCCAAAATCCATCTTAGATTTGTGAGGGTGGACTAAGTACAATAGGGGTATCCCAAGTTCACCTAAACCCTCACTTTTACCTTTATCAATGAAAGAGGAAACCATAATGTTGACACCTTATATCGTAGAATTAAGGTGTATCTCAAAAATCTATCGAAAAAGGCTGTTTTGATGTTGAAAACCCATTTAATCGAAAATCTCGACATGTAGATGTATCATTGAGATATATGGCATGGAAAAAATGGATTTTAAGTCCCAAAATAGTACGTCTTGCAACACACCTGTTGAGCTGTCTATTTTCAAAAAATATAAAACATAGATTCGGAAAAAAAATTGATTTATAGTTAGAACCATTTGAAAAAATTGGTGTAAAGAAGAAAATATAAAATAAAAAATATATGAAGAGAAATTATTTTGGGTACAAGGAGGCCATAATCACTCTAGTCCATCAGATTTCAAATCGGATGATTGTAAGGGTATCATTGACTAAAGTCTCAAAATTTAAAAAGGAAATTCTCGAACTTCATGACGCATCCTAAGCCCTCCAATTTGACATCAAATTGCTAAAAATAATTGTGATCTTCTTGTATCAAATATAAATGGTAAGTATATGGAATTATAACATGACATATGGCAAAATAACTACTAATCATTGTAAAAAAAATCCCAATTACATATAAAATACCGATACAATTTTTTTATTTTTTTAAATTACATCAAGTTTTATTTAGGCTCTCGGCTTGGCAAGAGGTGTAGTGCGAGTGGACTCGGCTGTGCTCTGGAACACCGATTCAAACTACTATTTTTGTTATAGACACGGTTTCTATGAGTCCATATAGAAATGAGTGACCTCTTAAAATTTTATTTTTAAGATGGATTTTTGGACTTAACTTTTAAGGACATATAATCTCTAACATGGAGATCATGAATATGAAAAAATAAATAAATTTTGAAAATTAAAAATAACAATTTCATTAAGAAAATATTCCGACCATTAATTTCAATTGTTTTTAGATAGACCACCTATTTGCATCCATCTTTAAGATGGATGCTTTATACTTGGGGACCGCATATTGTATGATTATCCTTGTCCTCTTATTTGTAAATTAGAAATATCATATAGTTTTAGTTTATTATGTGGATGATGTTTTCTTGGATTTGCACTTTACCAAATGAATTCACTTTTGGAAATATTATTGTTAAGGTTCAAACAAAAAAGACTGGGTCATGTCATTGACAAACAGCGATGTAGCGTTATAGATTAAATAAGGAGTAGGGGTCTCAACCAAACAAATTTGTGGAGAAACCCTAGCATGGATGATATCATGATTTTTAAGCTGGCATTTTCTATTAAATTACACTTCAATTATTTTGCCTTTTAGTTTTAATATTATCTTCTTGTGATTTAAAAATCGTCAATTTGGATTAGAATTCGGTGGACACCCGATCTAAATCTTTCTCAGAATTGGTAATCGGCTTGGTTTAGTGACTCACCTGCCAAAGAGCTCGGCTAGACTTAAGAACCTATTTCAAACAAAATTGTTAGATTCCCAAATGTTTTATTTTTTATGTTTTTAAATTTTTTAAAATATTATGTGAATTTTTTGGGATTGCTTCTCGATTATCCTAAAATTATCAACCCAAAAGTAACCAATTGGACTACACCATCCAAGTTTTAAAACATCAATATCTTACAGGAAAAGAGTATACAATGAGATTGTTTACCTTTCACATGGAGGCAACAAAAACTCCATGCCAACGAATGTTAAATCGTGTGGCTGACAGTGATTGCACACAAAGTCTGAGAACTTTCTCAATATTCTGTGCAAAAATATGACTCCCCAATGAGCTAATTTCACATGAGAGACTAAAGGTATTTATTACCTTTTCGTAGAAAAGATGACAGTCCCAAATGTAAACAATCTCCTTTCTTGAAGCCTAGAACATTGGATGAGATCTTAATTATATTTTATGAAACATTATAGATGGGAAAGCACCGAGAGAATAAATTCAGTCCACTTGTGTCAAG